TAATTTAAAGTAACTTATATTTGCGATATATATTTGGTTTTTATTCCATTTTATAATTAACTAGCAGTAGAGCCCGGCATTGCCCAGGGATGTAATAGTAAGAGATAGATCAAGTATCGACCATCATAAAGACTGAAAAATAAAATTGACAAAGATTATTGTTTAATGTTGATGGAATTAGTTTTTTTTTGTTTTGTTTGTTTTTTTTTACGAATTGGTCAAACCCAAACTCAAACAAAAACATTGTTTTCAATCATTATGAGTCTACCGATTGAATAGAATTTTATTATAAACAATTGTCTTGTAAATGGAATTTTAAAAGATTTTGAATATAAAAATAAAGAAAAAAAATGTGCAAGACAATAAGAAACACTACCTGCCAAAAAAAAAAAAAAAAGTGAAGTTTTGTTGAAATTGGTTGAAAAATGTAGGAAATCCAGTCCCATATATAAATGAACACACACACACACACAAACAACCTGGGTTTTATAATAAGTATAACTCGATATGAGTTGTCCCCCTTTCATTCTCGTGATGCCTCTTAATCGTGTTTTCAAATTGATTTTGTGCAAAAACAATTGTGTTTTTCCAATTTTTGGTGCTGTCAGAACCACTGCAAGGTAATTTTATGTAGTCCTGTGAAGTTTTGTTGAAATCGGTTGAAAAATGTAGGAAATCCGATCCAATATATAAACGTACAGATACATACACACACACACGCACACACACACAACCTGGGTTTTACAATAAGTATGATTATTGGTATTTGGCGGAGGGGGGTATCTTTGGATTTTACTATTAAAAAATTAATAGGTCTTTTGAAATGCACACAAATCATTTAATAACAATCAATCTTCTTACACAATAAAAACATTTAAACAGTTTAATTGAATAAACATGATGTTCCAAAAGTCATCAGGACACATTGAACCTGAACCCCTCTCATGTGTTTTCATTCTTATTTGAGTTATCTAAAGTTGATGGGTTTATTACAAAAGTTTCAATTGGTTTTGGAAACTACAAAAGCCTTTAAAGGATGAAAACTTTGTCCAGTTATCAAGCAAGTGCAAAAACACACATTGGATGAGTTATGACTAAAATCTTTTTCTTTAAAAAGATCAACAGAATTATTAAGGAACATCTTTTTTATACCATCATCATCAACACTACTACTACTACTACTTTTAAGTGCCATATTCCTTCAGAATGTGGCTGATCATGGCTCTCCACAATTTCCTGCATTTTGTAGCTCTTAGTAAAGTTTGTCTTTTTGCCATCTCTCCTAATCCCCGTTCTGCTAACCATTAGCACAAACTCATTAAGTATATTATCTGTTGCTTTCCTCTGTCCCTTTTGCCTTCAATGTCCTATGAGTGTTAAATTCTCCAAGCCCTCTTTCCTCATTATGCGTCAGAGAAATTTCAATTGTCTCTTTTTGATTTTAAGTGACCTTTTTGTTTCCATTACTCACACACTCCATTTGTCATCCTCAGCATCCTTCTGCAGAACCATATCTCTGTTGACTAAAAGTCACTTCTTTATCTGTGAGGAGATTGTTCAGCATTCACTGCCATATAGAAAGACCAATATTACATAACAGTAGTGTTTATTATTTTTGTTGTCAATTTTGAAGAATAAAGAAAATGGATGAATTCACTTTCACATGTTTAGGTTTTATTCCAATTCTAATCATCACTTTTTAAAACAATAAACATTGTTGAAAAGTGAAGATAGTTAAAAAAAAAAAAAAAAGTGGTGTCAATATAAAAAAACATCTTTTTGACATTCCATTTTATTGCAGATATGTTCATCCATGTTTGCCAAATGTCATATAATCTGCAAGGGAGCAAATTCAATGATAATCTTCTTCCATCTTCTTTTTTCTCTTGAAGGTTAACTTAATGACTCACACAATTGTTTAGTTAATTATAAAATTATCAGTCACCAATTTTCCAGAGAAAGCCAAATGTCATAAGTTAGATAATCTGATAGAGACTTGAAATAAAATTCAAGTTTCACTCAACTACCGTATTTGACAGCATAAAAGACACACTTTTTTTTTTACTAAAAATATCTTTTAAAACTCCCCTGCATCTTATATGCCATATGTAGGTTTAAAATTGGCAATAGTCAGCAGAAATTAGTTACCTGGCAACTCCTATTAGCTTAGACTTGATTTTTTTTTAACCAAGTCATGGTAATTTAAAAAGGTTTCACTACAATGATCCTTTTCAGTTCACTGAAGTCACCACGAATTAAGTTCAAGCAATGTGGCACTGTGCCTAAGCTAAATTTAAGGCCATGAATGGACCCACCAAAAGATTTATTAATATCTGGCGGTATTTATGTGGGCGCAAAGGTTTGGCGATTTGTCTTTTTTCAAATTCTGGCATCAAATTGCCACGGAACTTTATCTGTTGTGAAAATATTTATTTTTGAGGTTTTTTGGTGAATTATGATCTTACCTTTACAGTGATAAAGAAAAACAGGGAAAAGTTTTAAAATGTATGTTTGATGTTCTGAACATGATGTACAGGAAATAAGGAACAGGTAAAGGTAATCAGAGAAATAGTCACAGGAAAAACATGGCGCAGGGGGTTGCAAAAGTGTAATAGCGCCAAATTTCCTTTAAACTTCATGCAGTTGAGTCTTCTAAACATGAGCACAACTTTTCTTCTTTGCCTTCAGGAATTAACAAATAAAATTTTTGTAATTGTGTAATAAATGCTTTCCTTTAAAAATTTTACGCAGTGGTTGAGTTTTATTTTGTAATTTGTGCCTATGACTTGCTATTCCTATTAGCTAAGTTTTTGTATTTGGCACAAGAACTTAAACTTTAGTAGGGAATAAAATTTTTATACATCAGCAATGCTGATGGGAGGTAGGAAAGGCTCTTTCTTTCAGGTGACTAACAGAAGAAAGTTTCATTTTGGAGGCATTTTAAAATTAACATGCCATTCCTTGCCCCAGTTAACAACAGACTGTAGGTCATTTTTGAGATCAGCTGCCAATTTGAACTTATTGAAGTCATCAGACAGACTTGTACTATTGGGACAGGAGTTAAAATTCAGTTGGATTTTAGCGCAAATATCATAAAAAGTAAAACTAAGACAATACAACGATTTCAATTAAAAATAGTTCACAAACGTGAATAGTACAACGTCTGAGAATCCAATAACAGAAATATTGAGATTATAATTACTTAAAAGTAAAACAAATTTCTTTATAAATTTTAAACACGCCCAACAACAATGACGACTTAGGTATCTCCACTAATTCGTCGAAAAAGAGCATATCACGATGAAAAAAGGTCCCAAACTTGATGAAAAAAATTTTTATCGTCTAAATGTTTTTATGTTAAACAAAAGCCAAAGCATTTTTTGATTATTTTATTAAATTTTTTCATCCTTTTTAAAACATTCGAAATTTTGATTAAAAAAAAACAAAACAAATCTTATTTCTCTTCTTGCATCAGCGGAATAAACATCTTTGTTGGTGTTGGTCATGTTAAAAAGTTTTCTTTTAAGTTAAAAGAAAACTTTTTTTAAAATGTTAAAAACGTTTTATTTCTAAGGATAACAATTAAAAAAAAAAAGCCTTTACAACGCCAAGGTTTTTCCATCAATCATGGCCTTTCCCTTTTTTATAGTCGCTGTGAAATTTTTTTAAAGTGTCATAGTCACCGGTGAAAGGCAGAAGAATACATCGACCGAAACATTGTTACTGACCATAATCCCTAACCATAACAAAATTAAAAATTTCAATGATGAAATGAAAATATATTTCCATATAAAAAAACAATGGATATTGTTAAATTTTTTAACCGCTAAAAACAATTTTCAAAACAAAAAAAAAAGTATAAAACGAAATAAAGCAAAAAGAAAAAAAGTAAAACTACTGGTCGAAAAATACAATAATTTTATTAATTTTTATGTCAGTTATTATTTTTATTTATTTATCTGTCATAAAAAATCATAAATAATAGTCTATTATTTATTTATTTTTCTTAAACAGAATTTTTTTCTAGTAAAAGAAATCTTATTAAAATAAAAATGCATGGACCAAGTTTTTTTTTTTTAATTTATGGAATGATATTTTAATTTGAGGACCCAAATAAAAGGGATGATAGAAACGATGGCGACACTTGGGAAAATTAATGAAGAATATTCACAATTTTTTTTCTAGTTGTTAATTTGATAGCCGTTTTATTTGGCGTGTATTACTTTTTAAATCTAGAAAAAACTCAGAGTATGAAGCTAGTTAAAAATGTAAAACACGTGTAAATATAAAGGGAGTTAACTCAGTGTTTGATAGACGATAAATCCACAATAAGAGAAAAGCAAATTAAATCCCCCCCAAAAAGCTTATTTTATGGGAAGACGATAAGGAACAACTCTTTTGTTTGTCTTTCTCGAATATTTATCTGTGGACATTATTAAAAAATTATTTGGGGATTTATGAAAGATGAATTAAAAATAACATGACCACCGCAGTTATCAGTTTTCCTTTTTTAAAATACATTATTTTACGTTACCCTTTGAAGATCTAGGGTTGCAAATTATTAACATTTTTTCTCCCTGACACTGACATTTTTCATTCTTTCTCTCTAATTTTGAGGAAAATAAACAATTTTGTTTGACAAAAGAGAAAAAAGTAAAAATAAGAAATAATGTAATGAAAACACAAACAAAAATCCTTCCTTTTTGTTGGAAATTAGTTTGTTTTTGTTTTTTTATGAAATCGGCTTTTTTCCCTCAAAGAAATTTAAAACTTTTTCAAGTCAATTTATTTCTGATTGAACAGAAGTGAAAAAAGTTTTTTTCTGATATCAATTTTCAAATAATTTTTAATTTATCTAATTCAATAAATATTTATTAATTTTTGTTTTTAAAACAATACAAATACAGAAGAGTTTAAAAAATAAATTTCTAATGACACTAAAAACTAAAAAGTAATAAAGCTTCTTAGTTAAAGTTTAAAAAAAACAGTTTTTCACTTACCATATTAAAAAACGTCCGCAAGCTGCCGATTAGAAAAGTAAAAAACGACTGACTATTAGAAAAACAAACTGATAAATGACAAGGCCAGTCGTTGAATTGTGACTTTGTTTTTAATGAGTGTGACCAGTTTGAAAAATTACAAACATCAAGTGCTGAGGTCGAGGTTGGTTAACATTTCTCCAGGTTGACATTTTCGTTTTGTAAAATGAGATTCTTTTTCCTATTTTTCAAGATAACTTGATGCGTTGTCTTATCGCCAATTTAGATGTTTTTGTAGCTCAGTCAAGTAAAAACCGAGTTTTAGACTAAAAAAGACAGGAGGCTTTCTCTTCCTGTTCCTCTCCTGTCGAACTCTCTGCCAGCGGGCGGAGAGGAACCCAGACGAGGCTATACCGAAGGACAGTCTCTCGTTTGGGGAGGTAAACAAACCCAACTCCGTGTATAAGGAATTTTTGCCCGAGCCCACGGGCTCGGAATGCCCCACGTTAAAAACTGGCCTTGTGTCATATCTTGTTGCCTTGTGGGGAGGTTGGTAAACAGAGACATCTCTATTTACCAGACCCAGTTGAGTAAGTGAGCGTCGAGAGGTGGGGTCTGCGTATTGTTTCCCTTCGTTACACATGGGATTTTCGCTTTAAACTTGTCTTTGTATTTCTTTTTTTAGAGTCCAGTATCCGAAAGGCCACAAATATGATGCAAGCCTGTGTTATGGTGTTTAAATCCAACACAGGCCTATAGTCCGGCCGCTACCAAAACTTCCCTTACTCAGGCGCCAAGGATTAATCAATCACTTTTCAAACATGGCCCCATTCCGAGGTACTATTTGGGACCCCCCCCCCCCCCCGATACTGGACAATTGCGTAAAGACAAGCTGTGAGACGCATCTGTCTTGTGAGGTTCGAATTTACGATTACGGGCCTGTGAAATTAATCGATTGATCGATCACTTCGTGGCTGACGTCAAACTGAGATAATTAAGTAAAGTTTAAAGATTTATCTTAAAGTGAAAGATAGGAAGTTGTAGAGAGCTAAAAATCGGCTGTGTCCTGAAGGGATACGGCAAAAAAGAAAAATTTTAATTTAAATTAAAGTGAACAACTTTTTAAAGTAAACAACTTTAAAATAAATTTATAAATTGTTTTCGTAGCTCAGTCAAGCAAATAGAATAGATAGAATAACTAAACTAAAAAGATGTGACAAGTTTGGGATTACACGCAAGCCGCTGGCGGGCCACCGGTGGGCCTCTAGCGATTCGCCAATGGTAACATTACCGAGACGAACACGCTGGCGGCCCGACAACGGGCCATCAGCGGTAAACACTACTAGTGGCATGCCACCCACTAGCAGATTGGTGGCTTGCTTGTCGGATAGGGGAAAGTTTTTAATAGATTTTTTTCCCCAAAAGTACGCTCGAGAAAAATAGGGTTTTGGTTTTCTCTGATTGGTCAAATATTTCACATGGTGATATTTAAATTCTAACCAATAGACAGTTTGATTTAAGCGGCGTGTGTTGTATTGTGGAATCTTTTTAACATGCTTGTAAATAGTGTCTGCTATTGCATAGAAAATAAAGTTCGGGCGTATTTCAACATGGAATGTATGTGGGTATTGTTACAGACAAGCGTATGGTTTCAAGAAAGAAATACGACAACAGCAGAAATAGATTTACGTGGTTTATTTCAACAGGAACGTGTTAGTTTGGGACAGCTATATTGTGGTAAAGTTCATAAGCCGGCTTCGGATCTAGGTCGATCTCTCATAGTAGTTCACACATGTTGACGGTAGTTGATGCTCTCCTGCTGTCAGCTGCTGACCGCTCGGCCTGGCCACCTGTTGACGATATTCAGTCACCCCCACCCACGAGGGTGTCATGTGGCACAAGGCCTTTTTAACGTGGGCATTCCGAGCCCGTGGGCTCGGCCAAAAATATGCCCATTGAACCCGTATAAACGGGTTCAGGGCCGGTTTTACCTCCCCGAAAGAGACTCCGCCTTTGGCGAAGCCTCCTTCGGGTTCCTCCCGTACGTAGGAAGAGAGTACAGCCGAACAGTCGCTCAGAAAGTACTGGGTCGACTGACTCCTGTTGACTGCCCGTTGAACTTCCGTGTGACCCCTTTTATAGCGTTTTTTTATGGCTTAACAGGCTCGAAAAACGAAGCGAGTATAATTAGGAGGGAAGCATTTTTACTGGACGAAAAATAGAACACTTTAAATATTATTTTATTTTTCGACCAGAACACGTGTGTCGGAATATTTGTGAATGAAGATAATGGTCATTTTGTGACGGGGTTTTGTCCCGTTCACATCCGGTTCTCGCTCTTGAGTATTTGCCTGTAAATCAGCCGAGATATATCTTATTTTATTTTATAACAGTATGTAATTGTGTTAGGAGAAATAAGGTTTATTTCCTATAAAAGTAAAAGGATTCGATGATAAAGAGGAAGTATGTTGTGATGATCTCTGAGATCACTAGATGTTACAAGACAATTTAGGCTTGTTGCATTACCACTTCAGCTGACGATAATCGCAGGCTGCGCAATATTTCACAGCCTCTTCTTCCTTTTTCCCTTTGACTTTCCGAGTGACAAGACCTGTTTATTTTTGCTCCGACAGACACGAGGTATGTAAAAAATTCAGAGACGGAGACAAAAGCGTGTATATTGTACTGTTCATAACGGCTGGAGAATAGATCGACTTTGTTTCTATTTTTATCATAAAAATTTACTTGTAGAGATAGAATGGGAAAAGAGAGCACGTGGCCTCTTTTATTCCTGTGGTAAACTAGGGGAGGTTACTGAAGAGAATAACCACACGAAGGTTGGTAATGAACGATAATACTTAGGACACGAATATAACACATATAAGATTCGCCAGCGGCGCGTAGAAGAAGTAGTCAACTGCTGGAAGTGTATTTATGTGAATGAGGACATTATGCCACACAACAATTCCGAAAGTTGAACAAGGCGAAAAAAAAAAAAAAAAAAAAAAAAACTCAGACCACTACGTGAAATTTAAAAGAAGAAACATTTATTACAGTACATAAAAAAAAAACAAAGCAATATTTACAAACATGAGCTTGCATCCAAATTTCCCTTTCTGTGCCTTATTCAAAAACTAAAGCTAGATAACAAATTAAACAATACACATGACAAAGAAAGATTACAATTTTTGAAAATGAAAAAAACAAATTTTGAGAAACTAAAGCAAAAAATTAGATAAGACAGAAAAAACAAAATGTGTACTCACTCAATTTCTAAGACGGAAAAGGAATATTCCAGCACGAAGGGAGCTTTGATATGTTTCAAATGGTTGATGTCACGAGGACTTTTATATTTTTCTTTTACAGAAAAACTAAATTTCAATTTTCAGTTAAAAATTATTCTCTGGAAACAGTTCAAATAAATTTTCCTCCTGGATCCTGAATCTACTTTCGGGTTAGTTTTATTCTCCATTCGTCTTGGGTTTCTTCCTCGTACAGAGATTTATGACCCCCTTCTCCTTTGCCACTTCCTTCTGCCTTGAAATCTGAGCGCTTTCTGATCTTATCTGTTTGTGACACTGTGATCCCTGGAAGTTGATCAAACAAAAAAGGGAAATAAAAAAGGAAGAGGAAAGAGTCGACTAACGGGATGGTAATTGTTGAAACTCGCAGGAAGATGGACTGAAAAGTTGAGAAGAAAATTAATAATTGTTGTGTCGTAAATAGGAAAGGTTGGCACACATATAGAAAATAAGAAGTAGTTTATTCCAGAGAATAATATGGTACACGGTTGAGAACACAGACTAAATGTAATAAACTGTTAATCGTTAACTATTTGGTATTTATCCGAGACCTCCCCACAAGGCGTGATGTGGCACGAGGTCGGTTTTTAACGTAGGGCTTTCCGAGCGCGTACGCTTGGGCAAAAATTTCATATAGACCCCGCATACACGGTGTCGGGTTGGCTCTCTACCTCCCCCGAAGAGACACTTCCTGTAGGCATGAGCTCTCCGCCCGAAGGCAGAGAGTCGACAAGCAGAGTAACGATTAATCGCTGACTCCCCCCTCCCTGTAAGAGAAAGTGCTGATTAAATAGTCTTAGACCAGTCCATCTTGAGGTGTTCAGCTACTCCACAACATCTCCCTTTTTGAATTGACTATTTCCTCTGGAAGTTGTACTTTTTCCTTTTCGGATTTATCTCTATAGTCCCTGTAAATTTTCTTTTCCGTTTACTCGAACGTTTCTCCTGGGGGGCTACTAAGGGACTCAGTTCGTCGAATAAGTTATAAATAACCTTCATCGGTCCTACCTTTTGGTTATTTATATCATCCGAGAGCCTTTTCCTCATCTGGTTGTGATGTCTCTTAATGGTCTTTTTCGGGTCTTTAATTGTCCCGATGCGTTTATCAATGACACCAGCATTCCAAATTTCTTTCTCGTTTCTATACTCTTTGAAAAAAAAATTCTCCTGGTATATATGCTTTTGTACTTAATTTTTTTTTCTTTATTGGTTTTTTATTTCCCTTTAGCAACAGTTTATTGACACAGATTTTATTTTTATCGCGAACATTAACTCTGCAGGCCACGACATAATACTCGTGTTTGGTGTCGCACGATATATCCTTAAAATTGTAGGATATCGTCAACAGATTCGTTTCCGTCTTTTTTAATGCTCACTTGTGTTATAAAATAAAATAAGACATATCTCAGCTGATTTACAGGCAAATACTCAAGAGCGAGAACCGGATGTGAACGGGACAAAGCCCCGTCACAAAATGACCATTATCTTTCTTCACAAATATTTCCGACACACGTGTTCCGGTCGAAAAATAAAATAATATTTAAAGTGCTCTATTTTTCGTCCAATAAAAATGCTTCCCTCCTAATTATACTCGCTTCGTTTTTCGAGCCTGTTAAGCCATAAAAAAACGCTATAAAAGGGGTCACAGGGAAGTTCAACGGGCAGTCAATAGGTGGCCAAAAAGGAGACAGCAGCTGTCAGCAGGAGAGCACCAACCACCGT